CCCCCCTCCCCGTCCCCTTCCCCCGTCCCAGCCCTCCTCCCGCCAGTCTAAGAATCTAGGAAAGGCCTGGAAGCAGATGCCCGGCTCAGGCCTACCAGTTTTTCTCCGGCCCCACGCACTAGTCAGAGAAGGCCAATTCTATATCTGATCTCCATCTCGCCCTAGCTGCTGATGCCCTCCTATCCTCATCACCTCCGCCATCACCGTCTTTAGTTGCACCAAGGGGTGTCAATTCCACAAGTCAGATTGTGAGTACCATGCACCTCGAGCCTTGTCATCTCTTCCATCGCAGCTAATCCCACTCACACCCTCAGATTACACGGTTCTAGCCTCATACAGGTACTGTGCTAATGCCTTTTACGGCTGTGGGCCTCCAAAGTCAAGATCATTCTAACCTCAAAACAGCATCAACAAGGAGCACATCGCTTAACCAGGTCTTGCACACACTTTTTAAAATACATTGGGACAGGCGCTGGTGGCTCTCACTTGTCATCCTAGCTACTCAGGAGGCTGAGATCTGAGGATTGTAGACATAAGCCAGTCCAGGCAGGAAAGTCTTCTCTCCAATTAACCAACAACAAAACAAAAACAGGCAAGGCCTTGGCTCCTACAGTAGAGCCTCAGCCTTGAGCTCAATATCCAAGCCAGAGCCCAAGGCCCTGAGTTCAAGCCCCAGTACCAGCACAATAATAAATATATTTGGTTCATCTGAAAAGGCTTACAATGATACAATAATTTAAACCCAAACAAGATAAAGATTTGACTGATGGAGAAGGGGACGGAAAGAAGGCTCAGTGCCTAGGGCTGAGTCCAGGCTCCTGTCCAGGACACAATCTGTGGATTCCTGCTGGTTTATTCTCCCAAGCCCAGGACCCTCACAGAAGTCACAGCCATACGCAAGGCTGCATGTTTGTGCGTACTTTGGGGAAGAAGGGCAGGGTGCCTGGTACTTGGTCGTGGGAAAAAGGAATGTAACCTCACAGTTGTGGCCATGAAGTATTTCAGCTCATTTCTGTCCCTAGGGCATGCACTGAGCCAGGATAAAGCAGTGAATGCCCAAAGATGGAAACAAGGAAGTGGACAGAGGCCCAGCATTTAATTTTTCAGGTTAGAAATAACCAGGGAGATAATCAGCGGACGTGGGGGCAACTTGAGAATCCACACAGTGACCCACACAGGTCACTTACCACTGATAGGAGAAAATGACTTCACGTCTCGATACTTTACACATTACTGCACTAATTCTTCAAACACAGCACCCCATTTAACTCTCCCTACCCCCTGTAAGGCAGGTACTAATGTTTCCTCTATAATTCTGCTGTGCTGCTGTTACAAGCAGTTCATTTACAGCAATTCTCTTTGGGGTAGCCTGCTGGGCAAATGCATACCAACACAGCCTTGATGAGGACCAACACTGGAAAGGCTCAGGAAGGGTAAGTTGGTACAGAGCCCTACTTAATGATCTCCTCTAGAGAACTACCCCTGAAAAGATGCTGCCCCTGGTTATAATTCTAGAGGGGCTAGATGTAAGAGGGCAGGGCAGATTCCGCAGAAATTCCAGCCTCTTACCTGTCCAGTCGTCAGGCACTAGTTCTTCCTCCGGAGCTTCCTGCAGTGGGTTTGAGGCCATCTCTGGCTCTAGGTGGTCTCTCTCCTTGGAATCCTGTGCATTAGAGTCCATGCTTATTTCTTCTGGGTCTCCTTCCCTGTCCTCAGAATTCTCAAAATCAGAGCCCATTCTGTGAATTTCTGAGTCCTGATGCTCACACACACCCTGATTATCTTCATGTTCCATCCAAAAAGAAAAGGCCAGGGGAGGCGACCAGGGGCGCCTGCTCTAGATAAAACACAGAAAGGCTACATCAGCCTGGATGCACAGCCTCCTCATGTCCGATTTCCACATCCAATGAAGTATCTAGAGATCCAAGCTCCACATGGCAAGTCTACTCCTAACCACATGTACCATTTAAAGTCAGTTTCAGCTGGGTGCAGAGGAGGGTGTGTGAAGGCGCAGCTATGACCTAACTGTAAGGTCACTTGACATCACCGCACCCAAGCTGCATCTGCTCCTATCTATGAAATGGTTGTCCACTGGGTGTGCTTACAGCTTAACACTGATGTAGGTACCCCCAGTTTTACAGCTGAGAAAACAAGGAGGCTGGAAAAGAAATGAACACCAGACACCAGTGACTCATGCTGGTAATCCTAGCTACTCAGGAGGCTGAAATCCTTGGTTCAAAGCTGACCCACGCAGAAAACTCCATGAAGATTCTTATCTCCAACTGGCCAGCAAAATGGTGGAAGCAGAGGTATGGTTCAGGTGATACAAGCAAGCAAGCCTAGCTAGCACAATGTCCTTAGTTAACTCGAATACACACACACACACACACACACACACACTCCCATAACTTAAGAAACAGCTTAAGAGACTTAAGAGACTGATGCTGCTGTCTCAAGTTCTATTCTTTCTTTACTGTTCTTATTAAGATTGCCCTCCACAATCTTCATTACAATTTGCATTTTTTTTTGGTAATTAAAGGTGCCTTTACAGAGCTAGAAGACAAATACATTCAACACACAGGAGGAACCAGGCATACCAATATGTAAACTTCTTATCTAAGGTCAACAGTAACACCATCAGCCTCCTTGAGTGTATGTGTGTGTGTGTGTGCATGCATGTGTGCACACTAGTGCTGGGGCCTGAACTGAGGGCCTTGTGTTCTTACTTAGCTTTTTCACTCTATCACTTAAGCCACTGCTCTACTTCTAGCTTGTTGGTGGTAAATTAGAAGATAAGAGTCTCACAGAATTTCCTGCCCAGGCTGGCTTTGAACTTCAATCCTCAGATCTCAGCCTCCTGAGTAGCTGGGATGAGAGGTATAAGCCACTAGCACCCAACTCAGCATCGCTTTTGCATCCATATCTGCTGAGTACCTGGGACAGGTAACCCAAGACGATGTAAGCCCCAACAGGTCTGACAGAGGTGGGGGGTAGGCTAGAGAAAGGGATAGAGAGGGCCTACTATCTTGAAGCTATCTCTAGAGCTCTAATTATAATGTTTGCAATATCCAAATTATAGAGAAATTCTAGGAGGACCACACACACCAGAGACAATGGGTAACTTTTATACAGAAAAGGCCAACAGGTGATTTCTAAATGGCACGTTGAATGGAAATCCTTTTTGTACCTTCAAGGTAATGAAGAAATTAATAATTATTACAAAAAATAACATGATAGGAGAAAACTCTCATTAAAGCCATAAACCTTTCCAGAAGTACGTCCTTTAACAAGTTATTGTCCCTTGTCACTTCTGCCTGACATCGCTTTGCCTCCCAGAGGCCCCAGCAAATTTCCTGAGTCTGTACATGTAATGTCCCTGAAGGTGGGGGCGGGCAGGCTGTAGTAGGTTCATCAGTGATGGAGGACAGCAGAGAGGTAAACAGTAGAACCAACCATTGGTTTATGCTAATGTGACTCCAGCAAGAACATCATATCCCAGCTGAGGGTGTGGCTCAAGTGGTAGAACACCTTCCTAAGAAGCACTAAGTTCTCAATTCAGATCCCAATACCACCTTAAAAAAAAAATCAGTGGGATGCCAGTGGCTCACGCCTGTAATCCTAACTACTAATGAGGCTGAGATCTGAGGATCAAGGTTTCAAAGCCAACCCAGGCAGGAAAAGTCCATGAGACTCTATCTCCAATTAAACGCCAGAAGACCAGAAGTAGCGCTTTGGCTCAAGTGGTAGAGTGCTAGCCTTAAACTAAAGAGGTGAAAGATAGCACCCAGGCCCAGAGTTCAAGTCCCACAAATGAAAAAAAAAAAGATTAAAAAACCCCAGCTTCTCACCTATAATGGAATCAAATAAGCATACCATCAGAAACTCCTAGAACTAAAGTGGTTGGTGCCTAGCATGGTACAGAGGTGGACTGCAGGTCTTGGTCCAACTTGAAAAGCAAGGAGCAGTAAGAGACAGCGAGAGAGAGAGAGAGAGAATATATAGGTGTGTTGTGTTGGTCCTGAGGCTTGAATGAACTTGGGGCTTCATACTTGCTCAACTTTTTTGCTTGTGGCTAGCACTCTCCTTTTGAGCCAAACTTCCAGTCTAGGATTTTATTGGCTAACTGGTGGAGGAGTCCTGCAGACTTCTCTGCCTGGGATGGCCTTGAACCTCTGATCTTCCATGTCTCAACTTAGCCCTGAGTAGACTGGACTGAAGATATGAACCAGCAGTGCCCCGCTGATTTACAACCTTTAACTCATTTAATCTTAACCAAAACTCAATGAAGGAGAATATTTCCAACTTAAAAGCCTGATGAGTTCAAAGCAGCATTCACATTGAGAGTTCAGATCCAGCCCACGTTTCCAAGCAGCTTCTAATGAGGGGAGTCTCTTCCCTTGTCTATTTTTCACAATAAACATATTTGTGTGTATGTGTGTGCATGCATATGCACCAATACTGAATTAAGGTCTGAAAGTTCCTTAATCTCTCAAGGCTGGCTCTTGAGTTACAACTCCACTTCCAGCTTTCTGCTAGTTAACTGGAGATGAGAGTCTCTCAGATTTGTCTGCCCAGCCTGGCTTTGAACTACAGTCCTCAGCTCTCACTTCCTAAATAGCTAGGATTACAGGTGTGAACCACTTAGCAATAAACTTGTATTTAACCAGGCAAAAGGCTAGCTTTGTTGTTAACATGGGTGTTTTTTTTTTACTCTGTTATAGAAAAAAACTTTTAATTTTAGAAAACAAGAGCAGGAGTTTCAATTGCTTCAATCTAGAAAACTTATTTTGGGAACACATTGTGTTCCAACTCCATTCCCACTCATTCTCAAAATAAAAACTAGCAATATGCTTTCTCAAGCAGAAAACAGCCAGGGGCTAGATAATGAATAGGTAGTAGGGCCGTTGTGATGGCTTTATGGCTAGATTGACAGGATGTAAGTAAGGTCTTTCCTCTTTGTTAGCTACTTGACCTTATACAAGTTACAGGACCTTCTTCTGAATCCATTAAAAAAGAAGAATGCTGCCACTTCCTTGCAGGATCTAGAAGCATATTCATGTTCATTAAAAAAACAAAAAGCACCTTAGAGACATAAGAAACGTTAAAGCTACTCAATTATGAAACTTCAGCCAACTTTTTGATTTAAAAAAAATGCACAATAAAGTTAGATGCTGGTGGCTCATGCCAGTAATCCTAGCTTCTCAAAGGGCTGGGATCTGAGGTTCAAAGCCAGCCTGAGCAGGAAAGTCCATGAGATTCTTATTAAACAGCAAAAAGCCGAAAGTGAAGGTATGGCTCAAGTGGTAGAGCAAGCACCAGCTGTGAGTGAAAAAGCTAATGGACAGCATCCAGGTCCTGAGTTCAAGACCCAACATGGGAAAAAAAAGACAGAGAGATACCCTCCTGGCAAACCTCTAGTCCTTGGAGGGGCACTCTGGACCCCACACCTCCACCAGTTGCTTAGGGGAGACCAAAATGGTCAGTCCCCAATGGAACAGTGTCCCATTTAGATACATCCAAGCCACGCACACTGCTCCGATCAGATGGGCCAAATCTCCCTCCACACATATTACACATGGAAAAACTAGCAGGTGGCTGTCTCCTGAGGCCACATCTGGAATCAAACTGCCTCGCAGCTCCCTGGTGGTGTTCTTTTCCCTCTCCCTGCCCCCCCCTACCAGGGCCCTTGCCCCCTCTGGTGGGGGGTCTGGAAAGAGGCAGACCACCCACATGGAAAGGATCCCAGGAGGCTGGACCTGGCACAGAGGTGGCCAGCAGGGGTGGAGGCCAACCTGAGAGCAGCCAGTGGGAGGGAGCCCAGCGCTGAGCTGTCCCTTGGGGGGAGGGAAGCCAAAGCTCCCTCTCCGCCACCTCCAGACCACAGCCCCCTTCCCCAGCCTTACCTCTGGTAGGAGACACAGCCGCTTCCCACGCCCCTGCCCTGTGTGCTCTCCAGAGGTAACACTTTTCCACGCTAGAGGCCAGGCAGGGCTGGAAAAACTATCTCAGCCTGTGGTTCAAAAGGCCGAACTCATGACCAGAACTGGGGTCTAATGGAGGACTCCAGGGGTTAATCATTTGTCGTCCTATGGCATTAACAGTCCACCAAAGCTCAGGCAGCCCCAGGGAGTGTCTAGACAGAAAGGACCCCTGCTTCTCTCTCTCTCTCTCTCTCTCTCTCTCTCACACACACACACACACACACACACAAACTCAGCAAAAGAACCTCTAGTATTTTCAGGGGATGCCTCCACCTATTCCTGATGAGAAAGTTCCACCTGTTCCTTTTAGAGCTTTGCTTTTTATTTTTGTTCCCTGTGCTTGGCATTGTACCACCACCACCTCCTTGATGCACCTGCTTTTTAGACTTTTGTTCCTGTTGTTGTTTTCTTATTCTAGAAGAGTGAAGCCTGATCAGCCTCCATGAGTTCAAACCCAGGAGCAGCACAAAAAGGAGCAGAATGAGTGTGTACATACATTCAAGCTCTCTCACTCTCTTGCTCATGATCTTTCTCTCTCTCTGTCTCTCCTCTGTCTCTCTTTCTCTGTCTATCTCTCTAACTCATGCACTCTGTCTCCTGTTTCTGTCTTTCTGTTTCTCTGTCTTTCTCTCGGTCTCTGTCTCTGTCTTTATGTCTTTCTCTATTTCCCTCCCTCACCCCTCCAGTCACAGACTACATAACCCCAATTCCCAGCCTTTCTGGTGGCATGCTGCCATGTGAGGAGAGAGCTGGTTCAGACAGGAATGTCAAAGACCGCCACAGCTAAATGCTAACCACTCTCCAGACGAGAAAAGCTAAAATAATATGGTTTCTGCCTGGTGGTTATTGCTTTCTT